CATTCCTGATACCCCCATGGCATTAAGTGACTTCAGAAAAAAGCAGAAACACTCCCTGATGAACAGAGAGAAAGAGGACACAGCTGAGAACTATGGGAGTATCACAGAGACTAAGAAGAAGAACAGAAGCAAAGATGTTTCTTCCTCAACATGTGAGTACAAGCAAGACTACAGTCACAGCGTTCCTGATAAGCATCTCCCAGCACAGCAAGAAATTGAGTCTGAGGAAGAAGAGCTTTCTGGAAAAAAAAGCAGGAAGAATTTCAAGGATAATAATGAAATCATCAAGAAGAAAAAGAAGAAAAAGATTCAGAAGGAGGAAACAACATATTCAAACATTTCTTTAAACAAAGACAATACATCTAAAAGCCAAAACATAATACCACTAGAAAGCAATAAAAAAACCAAAGAGAGTGAAATGGAGCAAGCTGAATGTGTTGCAGAGGGCACTCTAGATGGGGCATTATACAATAGTAATCATATGCTCTGTGACAGAGAAGGGAGAAAAAGAAAAAAAGTAGCAGCTCAGGACTTTGCTGAAGAACCAGGTTCAAAAGCAAATATAAAGAAGATAAAGATTGAGAGAGAAGACCCAGGGAATCAGTTACTGGTAAGTTGTAAAGAGCAGGGCAGCTTTGCTCCCTCCTGTGAAGGAACTGAAACCTTTTTAGGTAGACAGTGTCCTACCTTGAGGCTGTTCTGGCTGTTCAGAATATTGAGGTCAGTAAGGGCCCCCACTGGCGTTGAGAACAGGATCAGCTGATCTATTGATGTCTGCATGGAATAGTTGTGACACATGGGAAAGTATTTTTTAATGCCTGCTGCTGTAATCCTGTAGTGTTTCAGTTGTTGGGATGTAAATATTACAACTAATAACAAATACTGCCACAAAAAAGAAAACAATTACGTACAATCATAAATGTTTTTCTGCCCTTCAGTTGCTCTTAGCAAAGTGGCAGCACTTTTTAATACCATGTCATTTACCTGATGGTAACATTGGCAGCATCAGTGCATCTAACTGTGTTTGTTAGACTTTTCCTCAAGTTTGGTGCTGTTAATACTGGAATTGTGTAGTGTTAGAAACAAGGGGGAAATTTAGCCAAAACCGTTGTATAACTTGGACAGAACTTTAGAGAAAATCCTAAGCGTAGACTAGGCCTAGGGCATTGATGTATAAATTCTGATAGAAAAATACAAGAGAACAACCTAAACACACATTTTAAATTCAAGGAATAAATCTATGCAAAAAAAAAGTAGATGTAAGAACTGTGTAAATCGTAACTGAAGGTAACTGGGATTGTATCCAGAGTGACTGTTAGAGGAAGTCTCCTCCCAGGGTTTGCAGCATTGCCATTTCTGAGACAACACAAACGTGGGGAGAAGCTTAAAAATATTTGAAATAAAGAGGTTTTTTCTTAGATTATTTTTTCTCTGAAATAGGACTATTAAGAATTTGTTTTATTGCTTTAACTTTTCTTCTTTATTTTATCTGGTTAGGGTCATATTTAAAAGTGCTACAAGTCAGTACCTACATGCCTAATTTCTCTTGTTATCATTGGGAATTAAGCTGTGAGATGCTCAGAAAGTCTGGAGGTATCTATCTGTATTTTTGGCTGCTTAATCAACTTCGAAAACATCATTAGCAGCTTCTTTTTATTTTCATAGGTAAAGGCAAACTGCACTGCAGTTGGTTTTTATTCAGACTTTTGAATGCTTGGCTTGTTTAAAAGTAAAGCAGTAGTTAATAAGGTATCATTGAAGATTTTTGTAAACTAAGCATAGACCTGCCTCTCAAGCACACCTCATGGTGTGCTTTGCTTTGTTACGCTCTCATACATGCAGTTTCTTCAATTTCTGTGGAAGCCTGGCAGCTGTCTGTTGTCCAGTGATAATAATTGAATATAGATTGATGTGGAGACCCAGATCCAGGCTGTTTTCACAAGGGTTTGTGAGGGGAGTGTGTATGCTTATCAGTCATGAGGTGAGCAGATGTTTGGGGCCTTTAACTTGGGTTTCTCCTTTTGACCTTTCAAGAGGACAAGGTGGTTTTATTGCTGGGATATGTTTTCTAATTAAATTGCCTTTTTGAGACTGTTAGACATTATTTGGGTTCTTGCAGCTGCTTACATTCTGCAGAGGCAAGATAAGCCCTCACAATGATACGCAAACTTGCATGACCTGTTAGAATGGAAACCACAGCACGTACCTTGCAAGCAATTGAGGAGAAGGGTATGATACAATTCATTTCTCATTCCCATATGCAGCTTAGTCCTTTAATAATACAAAATACTCCAGAGAAAATGTTCTGAAGAATGAGAAGTTTGGGTTCATCAGTTGTAGTGAAATCTAGTTCCTGCCAGGCCAAAAGACACTGTGCTAATAAATGGCTGATAACATTGGTCTGGCATTTAACTGTGCCATAATCCTGAAACATTCCAGTGTGTCACACACTGTGGCATGCCTTGAGCTGCTCTGCTAGGCTTGTACAGCAAGCAAAAGAGTGAGCTTGTAAAGTCAACGTGGAATGATACTCACTGGATATCAGTGGTTGGTGGTCTTCCCACTGCATGCCAGAACAGTCAGCCTGGGCAGAGTGAGGAGGAGTGAGGACTCAGTTTACTTCTTTCAAGTTGTTTGCCTGCAGACAGCATAATCCTACCACGTGTGAATGTGCTCCTTTCTCCATGAGGTTGGGGGAAGCATGGCACACCTCCTTGGGGGTAGTTTGTGCCTACAGCAAGTCAGCACCATGCTGGGAATTAGCAGGGCTGGGGGTGCTCCCTCCTTCCTTGTCTGCCACTTGACCTTCTGGCTAAGGAAAAAATGCTGCAGTTGTTTGCAGAATCCTGTCACGACAGTTTCCCTGCTTGTTTTAATAGATCTGAAAAGACAGTACCAGGCCATCTAGAAGTAAATTGGGAGTTGTTTTTGGTTTCTTCTTTTCATCCAAGAACGTGAGCTCTCCTTACTGCAGACAGTGTTCTCGCATTTTTAATGGTGCATGTACCTGTGTGCAGGGAATATCAGTGGATAAAAGGTAACTTTGGAAAACGAGGTAAATCATTCATGGCTTTTAATAGAACTCTAAACCCTTTAAAAAGAAACAGCAGGTTCTGCTGACAGAAGTATGTTACAAATCTTTTCCTTGTCTTCGTTTCCCTGGCTGTTTCATGCTTGGATTATTATGTTAGCTGTATCAATAGATCTTCCCTTTGGCCACCTTTTCCAGGCTGGTCTAAAGCTTATGGCTTTAATTTACCACTATCCTGGACTTATTACTTATCCTGTTATACTGGATGCCCAAAAATCTTATCCTAATTGCAAATTTGGAAAAGAAAGGCTGAGAGCAGTGATCCAGAAGGGCCAACCACTGGGAGCAAAAGCTGCTGAAGGGCTGCACTTTGTGGAAGAGTGATCAGGGTCTGGCTGCTGTGGACTGATTTAGCTCCTGCCATCCTGCCTGTCCCTGCCTTCCAGAGCTGCTCTGTCTCCTCCCATCAGCTCCCTTTTCCTTGCTCTCAAATGTGGAACTGATGTGCTGTTTGCTGCCATTGTAGGAAACACTTGATGTATGTGTCATGCCTCTCCCTGTGCTCTTTCCAGACTGGAAGCTCCTTGGGGACCATCATCCGTGACAGAGCACAATGCAGCTACCTCTTGATTGATGTTGGTTGGTTGGTTGTTTCAGAGAGACCTTTAGTTATCTTACCACCAGTTCTTAAAATTTTTCAACATTCACAATTTCTGTCTCTTCAAGTATAAATTTAAACTTTTACAAAACAGTTTAATTTGAAGTTACTCTGCCTGCAAACATTGTGTGCCAGTGATGTCGGCAGGTCCATTTTAATGTGTGAATTTAAAAGAAATTCTTTATCTTCTTGGTTCAAAAATAAATCTCTTCCTCAGGGAGAAAGTTTCTCCATAGAAATATGCAGATTTAATTGGCAATTTCATCTTAGATCTGACCATATCTTCTTGCTCCAGAATAGCACTACTGATTGCTTAGCGTTTTTATTACTTTTGTGGTAAGAGCTGTGTAAGTTTTAATTAACCAGAATGGATAAAAATAATCACACAAGCTTTTTCCTGTTTTACAGGAACATCTAGATGGTGTAATTATTGTGCAGGAAAAAAAAGGAAACTGTGATGAAGTTAACATAGACAAGGTATGCTTTGTCTTAATTGTGTAAGTCAAGTCAGAACATATGCACAGAAATTGTTACAAAAACTTGCCTTGTTGCTCATCTGTGCCAAGATTTCCCTGAATAAAGCTCTACTTAAAATGTGCTTTACCTTCCATGGGTTAAGTCCAAAATTTACAGCTCCAGTCAAAGTCAGAAGTTTCTAAGTAGCTTATTGGGTTAAATGCAGGTGTCTTTGCCCTCAGCAGTGTTGGCAGTTTCAGTGTAGCTGTTGCCTGCAGTTAGAAGATTAAACACCTGAGACAGCAAAATGTTCATTTAACACACCACTAGAAAAATGACAGTTCTCGGGTTAAGTGTGTGAAAGGATCACATGCAGTTTTAATTATCCTTGCAAAATTCTGAAGATAACTTATTATTGTATTCTTCCCTTATTTTTTCATGGTGAATTAACTGTGATTTGTCACAGACAATAGTGTCTCATGCTGCATGTGTCATTTATCTGCTAGGTGAGGCGTCAGGCCCTGCAAGAAGAAATTGATAGAGAATCTGGCAAAACTAAGGCTTTCAGTTCTTCCAAAGTGGGACAGGTATGTATGAACTTAAATCTTGATCTGATGAAAATACTGTGTCCCAGAGGAAGTTCCTGAAAAAAGCACTGTGCTCTTTTTTTTGGTGTGTGGCTCAGGTACATGGTTTGGCACAAGAATATTCCTTCCGACTTCAAATTTAAGGTTATGCTATAGAACAAGTTGAGGTACAATGCCAAGAGAGTCTGAGAGTTGATCAGTGAACTCCTTGGCTTTGTACAGAGGTCTAATTCCTATCATCAGTCCTCAAAAGCAATGTTTTCTGTGGTTCCTCTGGAGAATGAGCCAGGACAAATTGCTACAGAAGCATTTTTTGCTTACTGTGAAATACAAATAACTCTAGTCACTGAATTACCTGATTTCTTATCTGGAAGACTTTGCAGACATTCAGAAATGGGCACATGTGGAAGGGTAAAGGGAGTGACAACTGATAACACAAGTGTGTGGTATTTACAGTCAGTCCTCTCATGGCTTCTACATCTTTCTCATCTCTCATGATTCTTTATTCTTTGCATTTGCATCCTGCCCAGTTTGCCTCTTTGACAGATTTACAGTTAGGTAGTGGAAAACCTGTTGCAGCAGTGTTTAGCAGGGATAATAGGATTGAGGAGGAGAGAAAGCTTTGCTAGTAATTCAGGATTCTTAGTTGTTTTGCAAGACTGCCAGTGTGCCTAGAAAGCTGGAATATGCCTCAAACAAATGCCAGAAACAACTTCTGTAGACTTAGCAGAGTGGGAGGCAGTCTGTGATAGCTCTGGAACTGCAACTGTCTTAACAGTCTCTGAAGTCATTGAGAAAAATTACATCCTTGGCAGGGGATCTCAGTTCTTTGGTGCTGATCTGTCTCTGTTTAGCAGTATGCAGAAGAATAGAAGCTGTGAAAACTAATTCATCAGCTCCACAAAGAGTGAGCTGGAAATGCTTCAGCCAAAGCTGTGTGTGGTGCCTGCCAGCAACTCACTTAAAAACAAAATCACAGAGTTTGACAAGCCATAATTATTTTTGCATCTGTGCAGATGTCTCCCATTCCAAAGGGAGGGCTTAGATTTATCTGTATGTGACTTACGTTTATCTGTTTGTGTGCATGTGTCTGTGTCTCAGGCTGGGCTTATGCAGCAACTTGCCTTTGCACAACACTGAAGTATTATGGATAGCTTTCTTTTAATAGCAGGAATTCTGGCCTGTGATAGTGAATGATACTCCAGCCTTGCATTTATTTGACTTCAGAAACCTGTTAGAGCTTGTCTGCAATATTGTGTACCGTGCTGTGTGTCATGTTGGCTCTCTACTGGAGAGTGATTGTTTCATGCAAGCCACAACTGTTCAGTTGGGAGGATTTCAGGCTGACATAAACACAGCACTAAATTCACTTTTTTTCATTTGATGTAGCCAGCTCAGTCTATTTAATTAACAATCAGACACTTCTATTGTAAAGAAAAAATCCGGAGTAGCAATCCTGCCAAAAATGACTGAATTGCTATAGCTGAGGAGTCCACTTAAGGCCCTTTGATAATGAAGCCTGTTCTTAGGTCAGCCAGAAGTTTATGAACTTTGTAAATCATATGATGTATCTTGGGTTATCCACAAACAGCTGAAATTTCATTTTACCTGGACCTCCTCAGAAAGGAGCCAGAATCTGTAGATCAGGGGAAAATCCTGAAGGAGTGAACTAGCTCAAATAATAGAGTGAAAATGAACACAGCAAACTGCAGGGGAGGGCAGGATTTAAGAGAACTAGGTTTAGTCCTGTTGAATAAGGCAATGTCCTCAGCTTTTGCACCCTTGAAATACTGGAATGGGTGGGATGGGAATGCAGATGTTACTTAAAGCTTATGAGCCAGACTGAACATTGTCTCCAAAACTAACGTAACACTGCTGAAAACAACAGCTCCTTAACTAGGCAGTGGGGGAATGAAAAGATGTCCATATGAAGTGACAGTGAAAGAGGATTAAGTCTGACAATTGTCTTAGAATAAGAGATGATGTCTGGCTCTTGGAGCTAGTGAAGAGAGAGCAGAAAAGCTGAGATTCCTAAAGGTGGAGTGAAAAGAGATTCTCACAGTGCATTAACCCCTGTCGCCAGGTTAAATGACCTGAAATGCTAATGAAGATGCACTCGTGCAGATTTATCTCATTCTTTTATCACATCCTTTGAGATCACTGCCCATGGAATAACTGCTTCCCAGCTTTGTCACCCTGCCAGGTTTTGGTAGCTGGTTCTGTTCTCATGGTACACAGCCAGAAAATTTCTTACTTCCTCTTGGTATTCCTTATTTTTAGTGTTAACCTTGTTTTGCTTCACAGGATATGAAATTTGGACAGTGGAGTACAGCTGCTTTTAAAAGTTCTGAGGAAGAAATGAAGTTTTTTAGACTGATGGGTGGCCTTAAAAAGGGCTCTATGCCTGTCCAGAATATCTCAGCAACTATGAACAAACCGAACATGGCTCTGAACAGGGAAGGGGAGGAGAAGTTGCAGCAGGTTCTGAAGATGCAGTTTGATAAAGCAATGGACTTGAAGCAACATAGAGGAATTGGTCTTGGATTTCAACCTGCTGCCAACAAAAAAGGATACATAGACAAATATACATCGAGATCTATAAAATTTGAAGATTAAAACTGAAGTAAGAAAAAGAATGAAAATTAAACAGGCAAATTTCCTTTAACTTTCCACATATTTTTACTTGAAATTTTGTTAATGTTAAGAAACTTGATTTATGAGGCACTTGTACTAAAGATTTTCAACTGCATACAGTGGTGGAGTTGGGTCCTAACTTCAGCTAAACAGTTAGTTTTTGAAACCTTTGTCATGTTTGCTACAAGGCAAGAGAGCCTCCTTCACAGACTGCAGATACGTGGACAATGCCTGCAACAAGTTGAAACTTGGTCATTTAAAAAAAATGCTAATTTCATAAACTTATTGTTAGCTACATCTTAGTGAATCAATAGGATTTTAGTGTTCTGTAAAATCTTCACATTTTTATGCTCAGGGAGTGATACAAAGTGATGACATATTACTTTGAAGAAACACTCTGATGTGCCTACAGATTTGATGAGGGCAGACATTTAACTCAAAAAGTAGTTTTTCAAAAACTAACATCTTCATTATGGCATTGAACATCCTCTGTATTTGAACTATACTCTGGCAGTTGGATTTTCAAGCAGCAGCTGTTATCTGTAAATGAAAGTAAAATAATTTTGGATAGCAACACCAAATATATAGATCTAGACTTCCTGAATTATAGAAAGCAAGGTAATTTTAATCATGTGCTTCTTGGGTTCATTATATATCAGTCTGAATGAAATTTCTGACCTTTTGATTTTCAGACCAGCTGCATTTTACCTGGCTTTTTAATGAGTACAAAATGAGACTGCATTTGTGTGTGTTGTATTGAGAATTCCAGGGGCCAGAGCAGTCTGTCAGTGTCTTGTTTGAAGCTGCAAAAGATAAGTGAAAAACTCATGTATTTTATTACTGGCTCTGCCATTTGCTATGGGAGATGGTGCTAATTTTGAAGCAAGACTCTTATGCCCATGCCTGCTGTAGTGTAATTGTGGCTGCCTTGCAGGGGAACCCCAGCCCACCCCAAATTCAATTACTGTCTCTACTTACCCAGCTTGTTGTTTTGCTGCTGAATTACCTGTCCTTTTTGATAAGGTCATGCCAACTGAACTACTAAATTTCTTGCTCTTTTAAGGCAACCTCACTTTCCACAATAGCCTTCTGCAGTGGACTGCTCTACCTGAAAGCATCTGCCTCCAGCAGAAAACACACTTAACAAAACAGCAGTTGGTTCCACTGTATTTTGGGCAACTCCTGAGGGGAAGTGAAAATTATGGAGAGGCTCCAGCTTAAGGGGTTGCCATGAATCCATTTCCTTACCTGGGAAGAGGGAGATGCTGAACCATTTCCTGCAGGGGCTGAACTTGTCTTGGAGAATATCATCTCCTCTAAAGTGTCATTTAAAACCACCACTACCTCACAGTGAAACTGCTGTGCACCAGTGCTCTCAAAGCTCAGCAACAGGTAGGAAACATCAACCAGTGACTGCATTTAGGAGAAGATGGACAGCATGTACAACTTTCTGCTGCTGATCCAGTCTTGGACAGGTAGTGATTGGTCTTGCGCTGCCACTGATGAAGATTCTGATGATGATATTAATCCTAGTCTTCTTCCCTTTGGATAAAGGACCCTTTTTGTCCCCATCTGGACTTGCATTAATGTATAGGACCAGTGTGTTGCTCAGTACAGCTTTTTGGATGGCCTGGCACCTTGCTCTTGATAATACTGTGCCTATGAAAATGTTGTAGTTTGAAAAGCAAGACCCAGCAGTTTGTTAGTGGTTGTGTTAGCTTCTAAGCTTAGATGTTTGGAGTTTCCTTCTGTTAACTAACCAGAGCTTTCTGCCTGTCATTGAGCTATTTTTGCACTAATAAAAACAGTAAAACATCAAAAAACCATTTCTCCTGGCAGTCTTGCATCAATGAAAAAACCAAAATTACACTGTGCTCAAAAGACAACAGGCAAAAATTGGTGCCTGCCTGAGAGAGAGGAATGGTTGGGCCATTCATAAGCATCCTGTGAGAGTTCCCATTTTACAAATCTGGAACAACTCCACATGGGGTTTAGAGCAGTACATTTACCCCCAAGGGCAAGTTGTGCCTTACCACAGCTGCTTAGTGTGACCCACTTGGCAGTTTAGAGAGCTCAGAGTTTGATCTCACTTAGCCAGTTTATGTTTCCAAGGGGAACAGGAAGAGTCACTCATCTGCTTGCTGGGAGTTGTTCTGTGGAGCTGCAGCAAAAAGGAAAGCTAAACTGAAAGAGGACATAACATATGCAGTACTATACTTTCATTGTTTATGTGTTCTTTATACAGAATCATTGAAGGAAAAGTCTGTGTAATTCAAATAGTTTTATACTAAAGGTTGTGTAACAAGGTGGTACCACTTCATAACTACCTTGTTTTCCTACAGTTTTACTCAGCTTACATACACAGTCTCTACCAGGACCAAAGGGTCCTAGTTTGGTTCTTTACAACCTGAACACAAAATGCATATTTTAGCTGTAGCCCACTTCATTACCCACTGAGGAGATTAAAAACATGCCACAGGAATGGTTTGATAATTTGGGTGGTATTTACTATAAGCTTGCTAACTCCTTAAGTCTGTGGTTCTAGTAAAACAGATGACTTGTTTAGCCTCAACAAAATAAAACATTTTAGTACAAAAATGTCTCTTTAATATCCAAATAAAGATTTAGCTCATTAAAATACTTACCATTAAGCAAAAGCAGCAATAGATGCAAGGTCTCAGTGTGGTTCCTTGCCATGAGACAGAAGTGGTGAGAGTGAAATTTTATTAGGTGTAATAGCAGCACATGTAACTAAATTCCACAAGGTGATAAATTTGTATACACAAAGAACCCCCCAGAACACGCAGATGAACTGCAAATTGTTTTATTCAGTGACAATATACTTTGTGAATATAGAGTACTTTGCATACATTTCCATTTTCCTTTGCAGACAGTGCTTAAAGATTCCTTCCATTTTACAAAACACCAGTGAACTAAAATGAAAACAAACATGTCTGTGAAAATGTATGGTAGAAATTAGTACAGTAAGACCTTGGCCATTTTTCTCTTCTCCTGGAAGCAACAGAACAAATGCTGGCAGCATCTCAATGCAGAGAGATGACTTAGTGGGATTATTATACTGAGATGCTGCTTTCTACACAGGAGAAAGACTATTCTGCAAGTGGGATGAAGTTTAGAGGCTGTAAATTCATCTGTGCAGATTATCCTCTTCCTTTGTTGTTAAAATTACAACAGATTAGACTTCAAAAGGCTTTCACAACCACAGAGGTTCAAAATACTGTTTCCAGCACATAAATCAGCGTTTGAAACAACGTTATACTGAGATGCTGCTTTCTACACAGGAGAAAGACTATTCTGCAAGTGGGATGAAGTTTAGAGGCTGTAAATTCATCTGTGCAGATTATCCTCTTCCTTTGTTGTTAAAATTACAACAGATTAGACTTCAAAAGGCTTTCACAACCACAGAGGTTCAAAATACTGTTTCCAGCACATAAATCAGCGTTTGAAACAACGGTAAAAAACCACAGAGGTTCAAAATACTGTTTCCTGCACATAAATCAGCGTTTAAAACAACATTATGGTAAAACTGGGAACAGAAATTCAGGTTCAATTATTGCACTCAGAACAGTTTTACCTTTCTTGTGCCCAAGTAAATCTGTCACACTAAGTAAAAACACACTGTCAAAATCAGATCAGTGATTTTTGGCCTTGGCTACATGCTCTGCTGTACAGATGACTCCTTGGAAAAGGGGAATTCATCAGGTCCTGGACTGCAGAGGAAGCCGAAGGGCCAGGTCTGTGAAGTGACTCATGTCAGGCTGTTTGCTTCGTCTCTTGATGTAATCCAGAGTTTTCACCTGGGTTTGAAAAGAAAGGTGTTTGAGATTTTTAGTGTCTTTGCCTTATCTTACAGTCAGCACTTCTTTGGGAAGGTGTTTTAAACAGACACTCTCATGATCTTCCCTGACTTTCACTGGCTACATGAGCACTTGCATTTCTTATTCCTGAGCTTATTGCCATGTGTATCTTTCTTAAAGGCTCTCAGTGCTACTTTCCAAGCTTAGACCATGCAGTTCCTCCACTTCATAAAAATACTGTATTTTAAAGCTAGTTTTCTGTACTGAAAAAAAGTTATAGCACCCAACATTTCCAGGCTCCTTAATGCATATTATACATTTAGAAGTACTTGAAATAAGAGAAGCTGCTTATTCATTACGAAGAATTTTAAAAAATAAGCTGTTGGTTTTAAAGTGAGAAACTTGTAAAGAGATTAGATTTATTCAGAACAAGAAAATGTTACCTTTTCCCAAATAAAGAGTGGAAAAAGATCTAAAGAACTAAAATTTCTCTATTATCTGTTTTCCTTACCATAGTCTTGGTGTCAGCAAAGCCATGTTTCTGAGCAAGGTTCCAGAGGTTGACTGAGAGCTGGTTTATTTTGTTGTTTCGTAGATCCCCGTGAGCTAGGATAGTGTTAAAGAAATAGAGTGCTAACTGGCTCTGCCGCTTTTGGGTCTGTAATGGGAAAAAAACATGCCCAAATTACCAGAGAGTCATCCTAAAATATCCAGCACAACCTCCCTGGGTTCTCTGAACTCTTAGTGCTGCCAGGGACACTCCTTTTGTAACACAGAGCAGTAGCTGCAGACACAAGAATATGGGCACAGTGTTCATGTTCCTTTCAAAATGCAACAAGTAGTGATTGTCATGAATAAACCTCAGTTGTTGTAAATGATTACACAAGACTCCTACACCTCATACCTCTTTAGCACAGCACAGTATGTAGGTCTGACACACTTTCAACTCAAGACTCCCTACAACTGCAGAGAAATCACCCTCCCACCAACTAATCTTGCACTTAGAGCACCACAGCTATAAATTTTTCAGAAAAATCACTATCATCAATCTAGACCTAGCAACTTCAGGCTTTTTTTCCAGCAGTCTATTCTATTCTTATTTATGTAACCAAATTTTTTTCCCCCCTGCTGTTCTTTCACTAAAACTTTAGTGATACAAACATACAATGGTATGTATACAACTCGATGATCTTTGAGGTCTCTTCCAACCAGGTTGATTCCATGATTTGCAGCTACTACCCCTAAAACTGCTGAGGAGAGACTTAAAGGAGGATTCCTGCCTCCTGGTAATCTGCCATGGAGAAGCTCCAGCCCCTGTGGAGAAGTTCTGGGGCACAGACAATCCTGCACTAAGCTTGCTGATTTGGAGCGAGTGGAAAACAGAAGTAATTAAAATGCTATTGCAGATTCTGCTGATTCCTACAGAATAAGTTTTAACAGGCTAAAAGGATGAATTATTATTGGATGCATCTGGGCTGTAGTATTTGTTTATACTGCCTTACTGCAGCTGTCCTTTGTGCTTTGCTCCAGAAAGCTCACTGATAAAGGCACAGCTTCATCTTACACACAAAGCACAGCACTGGAGGAGTAGTTAAAAGCAAACTGTCAGCTGAGCACCTCAATTAATGAACTTAATGCTGCACTTTACCCCTCTCAGTTCAATTCATGCTAGGGTAGCTCATGTTCAGAGACAAGGTTACAGGCAGAATGAGGCAGTGAATGGGCTAAGGGAAGTGCAGGGACCTCTGACTCTGTGCTCCTGACATGATACCGATGTAGCCATGCAGTCTCTGCCCTTTCCCTAAGGGACTGAAAGTAAATTAATTTCCCTTCTCACTGGCAGCAGAGGAGAGGTCAGATGCTATTAATCAAAGAAATGGCACACACTGAGCTACAGACAAATATGGAAACATAGAAAGCCATGCTGTTAAAGAACTGGCCAAGCATGCCCCAAAATGTATGTGGCACAGTAGATTTGTGCATGCAGAAAATAAACCACACACACGTGCTCATGTCATGCCCAGACCTGCTCAAGACCCCACAAGAAGTTCCCTAAGCACTTAATTAATTCCATGAAACTACCACGAAGACAGCTCTTCCTCCAACAGTTACCTACATTTGCAATTTCCATCCCAGTAGCTCTAAATCCTGTTCACAGGCTACAACTACCACCAGCATTTGGAAGCACTGAACTGTACTCCCCACCAGACAGAGAAATAAAAATTGATCAGTCTAGTCCAGTAGTAGTAACACAAAGAGCAGAAATACAACTCAAAAAGACAATAAAAGGGAAAGTATATTTAATATTACTGTCCTATTTCTCCTGTAGGACTAACACTCTTCAGGGAAAAAACAGATCTAGGGTACAGCCAGCCACATTATTCACAAGGTATCCTGCCACATCACCATGTCTCCTGGATTAGAGGTTCCTGGGAATTGCTTGGTGGTTTCCTCATAAGAAGTGGGACAGTTCAATTATTGGGCAGAACACAAAAGCAGCAGTTCTCCAGTTTGAATATCAACTAGTGAGGGTTTCCAGGCAGCATCAGTGCAAATACAAAATCCATTCTATCAAATAAGGATTCTATCAAATAAAGTATTTAAATTTCTACAAAACCTGGAGCATGAGACCAGACTCCTCCACCCAAAGACAGAGAGGACTCACTGCTACATGCTCTTCTGACCAGGAATAGTCTGAACATTACAGAACTGTCCAGAACTGAAAATTTCCATTCCAACACTGTCACATAAATGAAGCATTCTCTAATCCTGTGAGAAGACCAAGCTGTGTTAACAATAAGATGCATTGTTCTCTTCCAAATTGCTATTTTGGTGAAAGGATTTTATTGTGAGAAAAATTTATTTTCCTTGATAGCTTTTAAAGGAAATGAACCAATAAAAACACAAAATCATCAGAGGCTTGTACATTTCAATGAGCAGCCAAGAACATGAATAATAAAAGGTCACCAACACTGAAGCAATCCAAATACCACAGTGATTTTATGACTGGTTCTACTTTAGCACAGTTAGAGACCTCTGACAATATTCTCCTCACCTCTATCTCCTCAGCAACAACAGCTTCCTCAAACTGCTATTCACTCTTACAAAACATTTTTATCTAAATCTCTCAAGGACTTTAACTCAACAAGCCAAAACAGATGCTCCCCCTTTGTAAATAAGGATGGTCAGAGGAGCAAATCCAAGGCTGCAGAGGCAAAGACAGTCCAAGGACCTGTATCTGTGCTGCTCAGCTTTAAATCCAGTTTTCTCTGCAACAACAGCTTTAGTGAAACAACACAGGATCTCATTACTCAAGTATTAAGCTTGAAAGCAGAAAACAAAAAAAAAGACCTTTCAGACAACATGGATTTCAAGCACTACAAACATTCTCACCCACATACTCCATACAGGAGTCAGATGCAAAATAATCCTTAATACACAACCCACAGTCCTGAAAACTCTGTTAAAAATCTCCTTTCAAGACCTGCTTGGACATTCTTAGCTGTGCTAGAATGGTTGTTTTCTGCTGTTCCTGTTCTGAAAAAGAACTGCTGTTCACTGTGATGATGTCTGCAATGATGTAGAGGCATTTGAGCAAAGGATTTATTCATCTTACACCTCTGCAATACTCAAGGAAGGACAAACAGGATAGCAAAAGCAGAGAAAAGGCTAAACTTAGCACAGTCTCCTCCCAATATGTATCACTTAACACATTTTGTATTGGCAAACACTATGGGCTACTGTGCAAACAAGCTATCTAAAAAATTCCATCAAATCACTCATCCCTCTCGTCCCAGGGAGGGAGCCTGCTCTCCCATTCCAGGCTACAAGCCACAAGATTTCTATCAATAGGTGATTAGGAAGCTGTGGAGGGGTTCAATCTCAGAAACAGGTACATTATCAGAACAGCAAGTTCTCACTGTTCAGTAATACTGAAAACATTAGTCACCTGCCTTTCACATACAATCCATTAAGCTATATTTGATCTCTCAGAGCCTCTGAACTCCAACAAGAAATCCAATAAGCTGCCTAAAGTTTTCTTTATTTTATATTGAACAAATATATCCCTCTACTAAAACCAGGGTAAAGACAAAACACCTTTTTCCTCCTCCTGTACTCTTCTCCTGACTTCCTCCTAGTGTCTGGGACCTGAAACTTTTACTGGTGGCTTTCATTGTTATTTTACCCAGTAACAGACTAACTGTGATTTCTCACCTTGCTCATTACAGAATTGGACATTTCAGGCTACTGTTAACTCAGCTGGGAAGAAAATACAGTTTATTCCCTGCCCTATCAGGAGGGTTGGAGCTAGATGATCTTTAAAGTCCCTTCCAACCCAAACCATTCTACGAGTCTATGATTTACAGACAAAGTTGAGAGCCAGGAGGAAACAACAGGAAGGATGGACATGGAGTAGATTTTAGACATAACCATACTGCAATCAAAGGAGTGACTGTGCCACTATCTCCCATTCCATCTTAGGCCAATAACTGCAATACCATCATCATGGAGCTTATTATAGCCACAAAGACTCACAAGAAAAAATTTATCCCACACTGAGCATCTTGTTTCCATAACCAAACTACACCAGGACTCAAGCTGGTTAATGTAAAGCTACCTCTAACCTCACTGTGCTGCCCTGCAGTCATCATTCTGAACTGCAGCAGAATCACATCCATGGTACACCTCCACAATCAATACTACAGTGCAGTTTCTGCTGCTGCCAGTTCTGTCAGCCTATCCATGCACAGCTGAGCAGGTAACTTTAGCTGCATCCTAAAAATGTATTATAATTGTGACATGATCTCTTTCACACCATTAGGTGTCTCCACCACAAACCTGCCTACGTGACTGACTTTTTAACAACTACCCAATTTCCTCTTGTTATAAGGTTCCTGGAGCTTTGGAGAAGGCCAACACCTGGTCAAAGGTGGTCTGTTCCCTCAACTCCAAATTACTTTTGGTGTTGTATTGAATCAAGCTGAGTAAGAACATACCTCTTCCTTTCCAAGGGTTTTCAGATGATCCACGATCTGTGCTGTCACTGTTTCACCCAGTTTATTAATTTCAGCCAGGAACTTGGAGTCTCCACCATACAGGGTGTCATTGGAATCCACTGCAGAGATAATTCAAGCTTAGGTCTGGCTAAAGAGGTATGCATGTGCTTGCTACTGAAAACACAGCTATTGATAGAAGACCACATTTGGAAGTTATAAAATTTCATGAAACACGAACAGAACGATGTTAAGTACCTACCAGTTGGTTGCCTACTCTGTCCTTTTGATTTTAGAAATAAAAAACTGAAAAGAATCTTCTAGTTTAGAGCCAGTCCTGTATCCCTGCTGCAGCCAGGCTCAAAAATATCTGCTAGACTTAATGCAAAGCAACATATAGTGTCAAATATCACTCCTTCCACAAGAGACAAGTTACCTGCTCCCCTCACTTTAGAAGAGTATGGCCATTGTCTTCAATGGCAGCAGGACTGGGCCAAACAGTGTGTGTTTTACTTAGTGACAACAAGAAGATTTTCCAAAGAAACTGCATTTTAATTTTTTCCTTCTAACTAAAACTGTGATTACCTCAAAGTCATGGACAGAAATTCAGAAAGTGTACTTTCAGTTTCAAAGAACATGAAGGATTATTTGGAGGGGGAGAGCTATGGAAGTTTTTAGTCCTTATGTAACTGTGATTTTAAACATGTCTTTTGGCCTAATTTATGTTTTACTAAGAAATAGGTGACAAGAAATTCATAGGTTTAAGGGTATTTTACATAAATCAGAAAGCATAGAAGATAAAAGATGATCCCCTGTTCTCAAGTAGACTTCACTTTGAGAAGCTAAGGTACCTAGACCAAAAAAACCATCACCCTACTACAGGAGAAAAATATTTCAATGCTTATCTCCATTAAAATCTAATTAATTTAGATTTCTCATCTTGGGGTTATGCAGCTATTTTGGCCATATAAAAAATAGAGGGGAAAAAAAAGCAGCTAAACCCCATTTTCTTACAGAATTTGAACAGCAGATTTACTACAGAGTAGTAGTTCAACTGACAGCTATTTTCTGTGCTGCTAACTACAAGAGATATTTTGTCATGGCTGGTAACTCTGACAGACTATTCACCAGAAAAACTGAAGAATATATTCCAGCCTGCCTCTCTCTGAAAGCCCTGTGCAACTGAAAGAAAAACTAGCTTGGCCTCTCCTACTCACTGATCTTCCACTGTGTCTTAAAAGACTCAATTATTACTCTACCTTAGCTTAGTAACCTATAATCAGAAAGCAAACACTCAAATTTCAGAGCACATCAAAATATTATTACAGAAAGATGACACCTATTTTATAAAGTGTAAAAGCTTTAGAATTCTCTATCTATCCTGAAAATCTTTGAAGTTACCACCACAATTTCCAAAGCTGAGTGTCTGCCTTCAAAGCAGCAACTACCTCATTTAACTAATCAAGACTAGGCTTTACATTCTGAAAATTGGAGTTGTTAGGAAGTGTGAATGAAACAGCAACAAGAAGTATAAATCAAGCTGATACTTTAGACTAAAAAGAAAACCTCCAGATGCACCAAGTTCTAATACTGACTTGAAAAGTTCACAGTTAAAAGCATTTGCATCAACACCCTCAGGAGCAAACTAAACCTCACTCTGCACAGATTTACTCTAAGGAACACACTGGGCATCAGTTCAGGAGCAAGCTTCTGGGATTATTTTAAGTTACAATACCTGGAACTGGATAGAAAAAGAATCCGTTCTGTAAGACTGACCAGCACTGATCTTCCCTAACTAGGTACAGTGATAACACTACTACAAATTGCATGATGGAACACAAGGATCCAGAGCCCCCTGAGGTACTACCTTTATCTACATGGTAGATAAATGTTTCTTGAGTCATTGCAGACAGCAGATGCAAAACATTAGTATAAATCCTGACTTTGTCATCGCTGTTATCCTCCCAAGTGTAATCCTGGATCACATTGAGTAATCCTCGTACAAGAAACAACACTCCTTGCTCTGGATGGTCCTACAGGAGTGAAAAAGAAAGGTCAAAACCAACACCACAACAACCCCAAAACCAAACAGGATTATTTGCAGTCATTCAGTGGTTTAGAATCACAATATGAGCTCTATAAAAGCAAAACTACAATATAATTAAAGCTGACACCTACTTCTCTGAATTCCTGCCAATCCTTTTAAAAATTTGTTCCAGTTTCCATCTAAAATGCCCATTGGACCCATATTCACAACTTGATCTAAGCAGCCTTCACAGACAAACCTTGAAACACTTTGTTTTCTAGTCATGGGAGAGTAGCACAAAATTAATTGTCAGCCCCTTAATAGCTAAGCCTCTACAATTAAATACTGGGTAGATTCTTTTGAGAAAAATCCTGTCAATAAGCTGTAGTGTATTACTCATACAATCATGAGTTTCAGAAGAACACCTACACTGGGAAGTCAGAGCTACAGACAATCAACAATCCTTTAACATGAAAGGACTATAAAGACATCTGCTTTAGCTAAGCCAGGAGTTTTTGCAAGCAGCTTTAATACAGCACCAAGCTTATTTACAGCTGGCAGTTGGTGCAGTGATACCAACATAGACAGGACAAATCACAGTCCACTGGGGACATTTCCCATGGTCTTCTGTAAAGTAAATAGGAGACAAAAAAATTACATAAACTAATTTCTGAATCCTGGAATCTCATTGCAAGTTATTCTTCATTACTGAATCTGAGAGGTTGTGTCTCCCTCCTTTAGTCATGTGTTAAAGATCTCAGTCATTCCATAGCCTCCCTTCCAAGTCTTCCTTCTGCAGGCAGTGGACAACAATGGCATAGCACAGTGGCAATCATCCTTTCCCTTCTAACATCACACCACTTCCATGTTTCTGAACATGTATGGCTTTGGAGACTCCTCCCACTGGAACAAGGAGAATCCACTGCTCTGATGAGGAGGACTTGGGCAGCACCAAACACGTGCTCAAAGCAAAAAGGAAGGAGAAAACCATAAGGAATGTTTCAGTGAGAAGGAACAACCTACTTTCTCCAAGAACAAATGAACATACCTCAAACTGGGTTTTTTTCTGGTCTTCCAGATGAGGAAAAATTATAAATTAATCTTTCAGCTATAGCTGAAAATATTGTAAGGAAAATAAGCTCTCTCTCTCTAAACCTGACAATTAGTTAAAAATTGGAAAGGTGTAGAATGGTAGTATTCTGTGAAATATTAATCCAAAGAGGAAAGTTATACCAAAACACATCTACTAATTCTTCTTTTCACTCAAAAGATTAGACAACCTATAACAAAGTAACTGAAACTAATAGAAACTAGTTCTGTATTTTTCCCCTCCTCTTGCATTAGATTTTTTGAGTGCTTATCTAATAAAACAGTAAATTATGTTTACACAATTAAACAGTGAGATTTCACTCTACCCCACACCCAGTCAAGTGTGAGGTGCTACTGAGAGCAGTAATGCTGCACCTGCACCTCCACACAACTGTTCTCCTTCCACATTTTGCATTGGGGTGAGTGATTTTGCAGCCAGTGAGCCAATCAGTTCAGCTTGCTCATGGCAAACTAACCACTGTATCTCCCATTCCTAAATTTCAGTTAAATTTTAGTTAACTCTAAATTTCAAACAGGAAATGCAAAATATTCTAGCAGCCTACGTGCTGCTCATGCACACACAACTTACCGGAACAACTAATAATGTGGAAAAAAAATTACAAAGGAATTCCAGGAGGAAGGCATCAGAAGGTCGCATCTTTCCATCCACACTGATCATTTTTGGCACTTCAGGAACAAGGCTGACTGCAGCTTTGAAAAAAGCATCAGCTACAAAATAAAAACAGAGTTGCTGTGTTATGACTCCAACTGCAATGGCAGGTCACATATATATATAGTAAAAAAAATAATAAATTAGGACATGATTCAAAATTGACTTGGCTAAAGAAATGCTTATGCCAGGAGAATGGAGAATCCAAAGAGGAAGAAAAGGTTCATGTTATCCTGTTCACCAATTCATTCATGAAAGGCTGTTAAAGTTATAACAATGTACCGAGAACTTAATTTCTCAAATTATTTATCATCATTAAAAGTAAAATATTAACATAGTACTGGAACCTGAGGTATTGCTGGTTACCTAGACAAAAGGGTTCTTTCCAAAAATCACAATCCAGGAATTACAGAAACCATTCACCATTATGGCCTTGGCAAAACAGTTACTAGGAGGTTTTTCATAACTCTTTATTACATCTCTAATCTTACCAAAATATCAATTACAAACACTAGAACATCTATTCCTCAGTTTATTAACATTCACAAATTAAAAGCAACAATATTTTCCCTCTTACACTTCAAGATCTGATATACATGCTAAGAGTTCCCAAAAAATTTCTGACAGCAGCATTGTTTTGCACTTTCTTGGCTACATTTCAGAATATCCAAGTATCCACATCCCCCTCAGGCTGTTTAGCCATGTACTTCAAAGGATCCTTCAGAAGTAATACCTTATCTTTATTTCACAGGAACAGAGACCAAGGACATGTAATCAGATTTTAGCAAAGAGAATTCCTGGTGAAAGCCAAGAGGTGTTACATGGCTGGGATGGAGATACCATGGACAGACATGCACAGGCATTTCCAGGAGCACAGCTTGCTCTGGAAAAATTCATTTGAGACTCCAAGCAAATTTGCTAAATATAGTACCAACTGATATCTAATTTAAGCTTATGAGGAATACCAGGGAAACATGTGCTTTGGAAAAAACTGGAGTTCTTCTGACTCTTCTTTCTTTTCAGCACACGAGTGCCCAAGCCCTTCTGAACTTTACACTGAGTAGAACACGGATTCTCAGTCAAACACTGTACTTTGAAGTGAAAGAATGTTTTTTATGTATTTCAAACAACATGTAAGTTTAGACAGCCAACTCAAAGGAAGGTAAGTAATCTTTCTCTGAGCGTGATTAGAGGGAGGAAAGCAGCAGATGTTCATTCTAGCACAAGTCGATGAGTCGCTGTCACTTCCACAGTTGTCTCCACAGGAAAAAAAAAAAGTGCATGTCCCACATCTCCATATAATAAAAACATGTGAGCAGACAAATGAAAAAATGTGCCTCAGAGAATAGTTTGCATACCAAAGTACCTATGCCTGTGCAGAGACTACTCCTCCTGCCTTCTGAAGCTGTTTCAAACAGGACGAGACTGGGAAAGAGCTAAAAGTACCTGGTCCTCATTTACTGCCTGCTCTGCCAGCAATCACAGTCCTGCACATTCTCCTCTAAACTTCTGCCACGGGCACAAACCTCTTATCTTCACTTTGAGAAACTGCAATTTGATTCAATTTACTCTCCTGGCCCTCCTGCCGTGGCTGTGAATGAGACCTGCCTCCTCGTCTGGCTGAGCAGCTGCAGGGACTGAGCTCCCTCATTACACCTGCTGGGAAGAGCAGCATTCCTGGAGCTCTGCAGGTCACTGCTGCTGGAATGAGGAGAGCAATGCTGCTGGAATTGTTCCTCCTGCTTCCCCCCACAATGCATCAAGGCAAGGCAAGCCAAAAAAGAATAGAGCACAAAACACTTGTATTTTACTTTGGTACATCCAGAAGTACTGACCAAGAAGAGTTATGTTCATTTTGCTGTGAGTTCTGTCAGTCTGTGCTAAGCACAAAACAGTTTAACACTGGAACACTAAAGATTCAAGATACATAGTAAGATGCAAAACAAATGCACATTAATGGCCAGGTTTGTATTACAGACTGCAGAAAACCACCTGTCCTCCACACATTACCATCCTATTCACACGCTGAGAGGTGTCAGAGTGTGCACCTGGGTTTGGAGAAAAAGTTTGCTAAATGAGTTGTCACAGACATGCTATTTTCTTAAGAAGTATGAACTGAGCATCACTGCTTAATTCTGAATTACATTAATTATGAGGTTATGCAATGATGCTTTCTCGGTATCTGTAAAATTCAATTTTTAAAGCTATTACTATAGGGATGTTTTAAAACAAAACCATACACTGCTTTTCCTGGCTTCCAAAAGGGATAAAGAACCACTTCAAAAGCACTGAAAACCACAACTATGTTATGTTCTTGATTAAATACATATAT